TATGTGTATATATATGTGTATATATATGTGTATATATATGTGTATATATATTTATGTATATATTTATGTATATATATTTATGTATATATATGTGTATATATATATGTATATATTTATGTATATATATTTATGTATATATATGTGTATATATATATGTATATATATGTGTATATATATATATGTATATATGTATTTGACTTCACCACTTTTGACATGGAGTGGAGCAAAAAGTTCAGGCCGGGCTTAACCAAGTCTATGGCTGCGGTCTAAGTCATCAAGAGGAGCTCTTACAGCAGCTTAAGCTATTCTTACTCAGCCGTGTAATTGTACGTACGGCACCTTTATGCTATGCCACCTTTCTCCTGGTTTTATTCACACCTACTCGCATGCATACTTCAATAACTCATTTGCATACTTAGATTACTGCATAATTATTGTCTATTGAGAAGTAACATGCCTCAGGAAGTATTAGTACACGCTATAATAACAGTTGTTCTGCTTATATGTTAACAGCATATCTTCACCCAACACCAACATCACCACTTCCTTCTGTAGTTTTGGTAGAATCTGACAGTCACTTCAAATTGAAGTGGCACTTATTCCTCTGAACTCAAACAGACACAGCTCATACGGTATGACTAGGAGTAGACGTTTTTCTCTCACCTCGTCCGCCCCGTTTGTCCCGTCAGCAGAGTGGAAACGAGAGATTTCATTCTCGTGGGCTGCTGGTGAAGTGTGCCGAGCTGAAGTGCAGTGAAAGTGGAGGTGGCCCACTGGGAGTTGATGCAGACGCTGCAAAGATGGCAGTGGTTGTTCACAGACTTGGCATGAAAACCATGATTTTACAGTATTGTTTAGTGTGGGCTCCGTGTTTTCATTATTTGGTGACTTAGAGGAAATGCATAGGAGACTAATTGCTCTCTAATATTGTAGATACTGGCATTGTTTTCTCTATTCATGTGTCTATTCATGTGTCATATTTTGCATAAACTGTTCCATGAGTGGCCTGTTTTTAAGAGAGTGAAATCCCACAAGTGTTGAACAAAATATGTGTTTACATGCTATCAAGTTTCTGTCACTTCCAGTCAGTAAACGTGGGAAGTTCCGAGGTTTCAGTTTCCTCTATTCACCCTTCAGTCCAGTACGCATCGTGAATGCCGTGGCTTCAGTTTTCATCTCTACGTTCTCATCGGGTTGTAATTGTCACGGTCTTGCATCAAAGACTGTCGAAAGTCTAACAGGAAGCAAAGTATGTGGAAACAAACTGACACCAGTGCAACACAGACCCTTTCATGCAAAATATCAGGAGAGGCTCTCAGCAGCTGTGGCGTGAGCCGCACTGGTAATGAAAGGGTGGCTGAAGCGTCTGTACACAGCAGGTGCTAATGAGTGGGGACATCCAGCCTCAATGGACCGCGGCCTCTTTAATAATCACCAACTTCTTACGTCACTATCTCCTTAAGTGATCAGGGGTTGTTGTTAGGAGTGAAAAGCAAACAAACTTCCTGCAATCTACAACACATTCAGAGAAAAGGACGTAATCCACAGCTCGTTATGTCGAGGCCTGTTTAGTCAGTGAGTCACCGAGCTGCTTATGTTGGAGAGCCGTGTTTACAAGACGTCTGACCGGGGCTCCCGTCCCGGTGAAGAGTAACTCTACACGTTCTCCCTCCTTGATCCTGGTCCAGTCCAGCTCTGAGCTCTGAGGTCCAGCCTCCACTGTAGTCCCATTGCAGCCAATTGGAGTCGTGTGTAGAGGAGGGACTGAGCCCATGTGTGTGTCTGTGCGTCTGTGTCTGAGGCTGAAGGCCAAAACAGCCCCTCTGTAGTGGTGTTACGTAAGAATGTTTCCCCTTTACTGGCATCGTTACTCATCCTCCTGAAAAGTTTCATTTTAAACATTTTTTTATATTCTTAAGTTGATTTGCTCAGGATCGTTCCAACATGTGGGAAAGTAACTTCCAAATGATCAGGGAGGAAATAAAAGGCAGTGAACTTGGATGACTTTTCCCTGCAATCGTTAGCCTTGCGATCTTCCACTTCCTTGACCAATGAATAATGAATAATTTATTTAAAATGTCATGCATTAATAATGCAAGGCAGCATTGCATAAGCTTTTTTCAAAACGTGCCGCCCTCGTCAAGCTTGATACCAAACGCTCCCGACATGCGCATGGTTTTCTCTGACCCTGCCCCGAACTCCGACCCCGCGACTCAATCCTCTCTGACCCTCCGCCAGAGCTCGCTTCACATTTCACTCTTTATAAATCTAACCCATCACCACGCTCTCAAACCCCAGTCAACCTGAACACAAGGTCCATGTGCTTTAGAGTAGTTGCACCAAAGCGTCAGGCAAGTAAAGTGTTTTTTTTTTTTTTTATTTATCAGGCTGCTGACTGCACAGCTAGCAATGCCTCAGCATGTGAGAGAGAGAGAGAGAGAGAGAGAGAGAGAGAGAGAGAGAGAGAGAGAGAGAGAGAGAGAGACCTTGCTCTTTCCAGTGTGAGGGGAAGTGGTGCACTTTGAGGTTAGGCTAGCAAACGAAACACATTGTGAGCCGTTTGTATTCAGCCAGTCAGATGCGGTGAAGTGAAATTAACAGTGTTACCCGGGGCATAATGTCTGAGCCGTGGCCGACGTGTTACGGCCTTGTTTGCTCCTCTAGCCAGCATGGAAACCAAAAACAGAGAGGGGCCCCCATGGAATATACTATTCATAACTATGTTTTCAGAAGCGTGTTCTCGTTAGCTTAGAATGAGCCCTTCATATCGACATAGGGAGAGGCTGCCGTGCACCGCCATGTTCTTACAGTCATGATTTTTGTCAATATTACATGGCTCTCATTATCACTGGGTAATTGATAAACTGTGACGTTTACCATCTGTTCTGTGACTAACTCCTGTCTCCCTCCCTCTCTGCCTGCAGGCGACCCATTGAGAGACCTGACCCGTGTGGGAGCCCAGCGATGTGGCTCTGCACGGCTTACAATGAGACGGACACCAGCGTGGACTTCCGGCTCTGCCAGGACTTTGGCCTCATCCTATCCGTGTTCTCCCTCATCTACCTCCTGGTGTGCTTCCCATTGGGGCTGTGCTACAACGTGCTGCTGGTCGTGGTCAACCTCTCCAACAAGGTGTCCATGACCATGCCGGATGTTTATTTCGTCAACATGGCCATCGCGGGCCTTGTGCTCAACCTGGTGGCACCCGTGGAGCTGCTGAGCTCCACCTTCACCCGCTGGCAGGCGTGGGAGTACAACAACGAGGTCTACATCACCCTGCTCATCCTCTTCAACGTCTCCTCTCTGGTCATCATGTATTCCACCACGCTGCTCAGTCTGGACTACTACATCGAGCGGGCGCTGCCGCGTACCTACATGTCCAGCGTGTACAACACCAAACACGTGTGTGGGTTCATCTGGGGCGGCGCGGTGCTCACCAGCTTCTCTTCGCTGCTCTTCTACGTGTGCAACCACATCTCCACCAAGATGGTGGAGTGCTCCAAAATGCAAAACAAGGAGGCAGCGGACGCCATCATGATGTTCATCGGCTACGTGGTTCCAGCTGTGGCCGTTCTTTATGCCTTTGTGCTCATTCTGCGCATCAGGAAGGAGTCCACGCCTCTGGACCAGGACTCGGCTCGCTTGGACCCTTCTATCCACCGACTGCTGCTCGCCTCGGTCTGTGTACAGTTTGTACTGTGGACCCCGTACTACATGACCCTGTTGGTACACACTGTAGCCGGTGCACCGGGGTACATTAGCAACGCACATTACTTACCGACATATTATTTCTTGAGGTGTGTGTCAAAGCTGCTGGCTTTCTCCAGCAGCTTTGCGATGCCGCTCATGTATCGGCAGATGAACAAAAACTTCTCCAACAAGCTTCAGCGGCTGCTCAGGAGGCTGCACTGCAGAGACCAGTCCTGCCCTCATGAACGCTCAACAGTGCAGCAAGTGGTGACGTGAGACCCCCCGCTCCCCCCTCTTCAACCTCTTGGCGTAGCCAGCACTTATCTCCCCACTACGGAACCAGTATCTGAGTGAGCTCCCTCGCTGCTCTGGAACTGTGTTAAGAGCGACGTAGCTAACTGTGGAATTTCCTGTCACCTTCCAGAACTTGATCTGATCTATCCAGGCTCCGCAGTGAGAGGACAAACCAAGCAAAAACCACTAAGTGCTGTTATTTTTGTGGTCACTGAGTGAAGCTCTCCACTGAGATACTTGAGCGTCTAGTTTGTGGGCGGTAAAATGGCACAATCAGCTGATAACTACCCAGCGTTTCACACACACAACACACACACACTCATGAAATATCTTGTTGGCAGGGGGCTCTCAAGCACTCTACCACGGCAGTGCATGCAGCTCCCCCGATACGGGTGTGTTGTGAATATCCTGCTGACAGTGTGCAGGTTTGACCGCATGACCGCCTAAATTTCACTGTCGAGTCACGATATGCTACTAGGTAGGTTTTAAGTTCAAACTAAAATACTGAATAAATGATGCACGATGCGTTCTCCTATCACACAAGCAGAAAACCAGTTAGCTATAAATAAATAATCACGTAGTTATTTTGTTTAACAATAAACTGTAGAATGCATTGATGGATGGTGGGCCAGTATATCAGTGACCCACCACAGCTAATGAACTTGCATTGCATGTGTCAACATCACATTGTGCGCTGACAGTAAACGTCAGTGTTTGCTGCCCTCAAACGAGAGGCCTTGATCACTTGAATGAGAAGACTGTTCAACCTTTACAGAGCGGGAATTCCCTTTTTACTTCAATGTGTTGACGAGTGATTCCTCGTTATCACAGTAAATCATTGTCACATTTTAACGGTAGAGTACAATATGAACGGTCTCTTCATTTCAAAAGTTCTTTTCTTTCTTGACACCAGTACTGCCCTACAGCTAGACGTAGGTGCTGCTACGAAGAGGCGTTCTCACTTCACTTTGAATAAATTGAGTTGTGAGGTTTCGACAGGCTCACAGGCATCTGTCAAGCTCCACTACAAATATCAAGTATATGAATATACATCAACGTCACTTTGAAGTCACACAGTACTGCATGAAATGCTCGTATAAAGCTCGTATTCAGACATAACCGGTGTACCTCTTGTGATCTCTGAAATCACATCACCAGCCATAAGCAGTTCAAATCAACTCCTTCAGCTTCAGCCCACGATGAGTTTGTTGAGGAGTCACACATGGAGAGCCTCACACGGGGTCAGTGAAGTCCCACCGTGTCACAGAGAGGGCCCCGGGGGGGTGGCATGTGCATTCCCTGAATTGTTTGAGTGCTTGGAAGGTTTTGCGCAGTAAAAATATGAAGCCGTGCCTCATCACTCGAGAGGCGCTATCACATCCTTCACAGATTCTAAATGACTTGCCTGTCGATCACCTGCCGACCGCACGCTTTGATGCACAACTGTAACGCCGCCCATATCCAGTGAGGTCATCTGCTCGTTTGATGGTAGAGCTGCTTTGCTAGTGGTGATGAACCCCAGTTATGAAGTGAAAAATATATAGAAAACCTGCTTTTGCATGAGTGTCGCTGCATCGCTGCGTTTCTGTAGTTGTGTTCTGTGCTTTCTGGATTAGAGGGCCAGTGTTGTAATCATGCTGTGAAGAGAGACACACTGTTATATTCACTCACAGACAACAATCAATGAAGGGCGCTTGTGTTTGTGGAGTTTTAATTTACACCTTTAAATTAACAATAAAGCTGAAATTGTTGGGCTGTAAAATGTGAAACAGTGTTCAACATTTAGATTTTCGCTGCATAGCCCCGCCCTCGTTGTGTGTATCTGCAGTCAATCAGTTAGAAGTACTGTTTATTTTCAACTGAGTCTGTGTGTTTACATTATGTGCTACAGTATGATGAAAAAAACAGAAAGAACATGTACGTATGGTGACACAGTTAATCATTATTTGAACCCAGTTCAAAGTCCCAAAGCTTCCTATTCATCGAGGATTGGAAGGCAAACAGGAGCACACATGGTGGGATGAGTCAAAGCGCGTGGCGGTCTGAAGGAGGACATTCAAGCAGCTTTTGTTAACATGGTGTCCATTTTATATAACGTTAGAGATTGCAGTTACCAAAACACCAACTTTTATTTAATCAACAATGACACTTGATTTATCGTGACTAGAATTGAGTGCTTCACAGTTTTCTCATTATGTGACACTTGAACATGTTCCCGTACGTTACTGCAGTTAATCTGGAAAGAACTGATATTTATTTTTGTGAAGAGACATGTAACTAAAAGGCATCCAACAAAAATCTAAACTTAATATTTTGATCATCAAAAAAAAAACAGTTAGGTGGATTGAAATTCAGTTTTGGATCTGAATTTGCATCAGACTACAAAAAAATGAATGTCAACGGATTGTTGGAGGATAAATAAAAGTCCCTTCTAACCTTACCGTGTTGCTGCAGCTCCACCTGTAGGCAAAACACCACCACCCAGTAAAGAAGGCTTGGAGTTGATATGTGCCATCTAAATGTGGTTGCAATTGCACAAGAAGGCCTCACTTTTAGCACTAAAATTCAAATGTTTTTTAATTTCGTTTTCGAAATATCTTGCTGAGAGACGGGACTTATTTCTTGGCAGAGAGAATAATTAACAATCACCACTAATGGACCGACTGCACGATGCAAACAACCAGCAAATGAAGCTTCATTAAATTGGGCTCAAAATCACACCAGACTCGGATGACTGCTCAGGTCTTAAGTTTGGTTTATTATTTGAGAGGGGCCGTGATCTCATACCAGTGCGAAGACATTGGAGCAATAATCACTGAGTTCAGTTAAACTGCTGAAACACACATGAAGACCAGAAGTGTAGAAACGCCCTCAAAGCTCTCGCGTGTCCAAAGTGTGCAGCTGCATTTTATCTATTTGAACGGCAAAACCTCAGAAGTCCAGATTAAACCACTTTCAGATGTGATGCTTTTTGTGACTGTGTATGCAAGTGTATGTGTATAATACAAAACAGTGTGTATATATATATTGTATGTGAGAGATTTACAAGAAGATATAATGCTCTTTCAAAAACACAGTGTTATTTTCTGAGAGATAGATATATTTAGATTCTGTAAGTGATCTACTCTATTGTCAACTGAGTCCAAGACTGATTAAACAATAAACTAACTATTGCCACTCCTCCTTATTTCAATGAAACTGACAATATTCAAGATGAAACTATTTTGAAACATCTGCTCTGCAGTCTGTTGTGTAAAGGCTGTTTGATATGATTAATGCCAAATGTGTTTTAAAAGTTATCCAAATTTGACAAGTTTGTTGGAGACAGAACTTGGAAGTGTTGCTTTGTTCCCAAATATGTCCCTTGAAATGGAAACTATTCTATTCTCACTTTACTTTTTTTATTTGAAGAAGACTGACTGCACGATTCAAGTCAAAATACTGTTAATCCGAGCTCCTCGGCCCAGTGATCGGGTCAGGATGGTGGGCAGCGAGGTTCCCCCTCCCTGTGAGCTGCAGTGACAGTGGGAGTGAGGTCGCCACACGCTGACAGCAGACTGCTTGTGGCGAGGCCCTTCAACCACGCCTCTCTGACTGGGGAAAATAACAGCGGTCCAGGCATTCTGGGAATTGTTTTGTCTTCTGTGGGTCTGAACATCCAATACTGCTGCTATTCTCCGTGAAAACAATGTTGTGTAGGCTACGTCTGATAACAATGCTGCACACTGAGAGCTGTGTGAACGCCTGCAAGTAGGAGCTGAAAAGAACAGTGCTGCAACAGGAAGCTAGGAGGGTTGAGGTGAAGAGGTGAAGAGGTGAAAATCTAACTTGTAATTAGATGGGTTACAATAGATGCAGAGGTGAGGACCCATGTTGCACGGAGGAGTGCATCAGCTGTTGCCGCTGCTAGAATCAGACACAGCAACAGTAACATTTGATTGCACAATACTGTATATATTTTCAACATCTTTGGAGGAGCCAAACCACAGAGCAAACAGAAGAGGTCCAACAGGAGGAGGGGGAGCTCTTGAATTATATGTCCTACATCTGGAAATGATATGATAATGGAGTGAATTGAACATGGTTGTCATGGTTCCTCTGAGGTCTGGAGTTGCAGGGTTTTCACTTCATTGTGTTGGATCAAGCAAACAACACGCAAAGGACACAAAACATCAGTCAGTGCAGTTACAATGTGTGTTTATGTGCTATTTTTCATTTTCTTATCAAGCAGGAAACCAATGATGCGACGGGGCTGGATTCCTCTAAGATGTAATACGGCTGAAAGAGTTTGACATCATTCGTCTGTAAATGCACCGGTCACAAGAACTAGGTCGTAATCAACCAATAGAGTACTAATAATATGTTGTTGTTGTTTTAACCAGTTACTTTCTTGTCCTTAGGCTACTGTCTAATTATGCTGATTATAGCTATGTGCCAGGCAACCAGTGGAGATTCCGGAGCAAGGCTAGTTGTTTCCCCGTTTCCAGGATTCATGCTAAGCTAAGCTAACTGGCAGCTAGTGTGGGTAATGTATTTTTAGAAACCTTTTTTGTTATCTTTGTTGAAATTGTCTTTACACCCCTACATCAATAAATCAAATGCTCTGACAAAAAAACATCTTCCCAGAGCGACAAACACAGACTTTGTCGTGCCCTTCGGCGTCTGATACGATGCACCAGACACTCTGTACGAGTCACACAAGGCTCTTAAATAACTACAACTTTAACCAATCCGGACTCACCGGAGTCCTCCACGAGCTGCTAGCTTGACAGCTGTGATGCTAACAATAGCCACTTTTGTTGTTTTCATTCATCATTCTCATCATCACACAACTTTTGGAGTTTGTGCTGCTAGTTTCTTTCATTGGTAAACAGTTGGCAAGACTCGGCTGGGTTTTTGGGTTGGAAAACGTTTTTAATTGTACTCGTGCTGGCTTCTCCATACCGACCCAGTAATCGGATACGAGTGGTATCAATCATCTCATACAATACAAGTTTAATAGTATATTTCCATAATGTAAATTTCTTTCTAAACTCTTAACATACAAGAGGATATCTGGTTTAGATAAGTAACAGAAATGAAGCTGTGTGCGGTCAAAATTAAGGTTTTGCATCATTTTCCTCCGGTTGCATCAGGAAAAGCTCTTAACTGTCAAAGCATCCATCTGGGAATATGGTAACGCTGACAGAGCACAGTTTTTAATGTGCTACATTTAGTCTTCATGTTGTTTTTCTCCTTTAGTTCATCCAGACCTAAATTATTTGGGTCAACTTCAGTCTAACATAACATCAGACCACCTAGTAGCCAG